AAAAATGTAAAACAATTACGCATAGTGGCATTTTGACTTCCATAAAGAATCAGTATTTCTAGTCTAGATGCAAAAATAGCAGCAGAATCAAAAGATGACCCAGGGAACAGATGGCTTGGTAACATTTTGGCAACTTTTTATAGGACATCAAACATATATAAAAAAAGCTTTGTGAAAAATACACTATCAATTATGAGGCAAATTATTTAATTTATTATTACTCTTAACAACACTACATGTTAAGACGGAATATTACTGTCACCATATGACTAAATGAAATAATTATATCCATTTCAATACGGCCATTTACACATTAAAGCAAATTGAAACAGTTATACAAACAGTTCCATATGACAATTGCACTGTAGCGTATTGCAAATGCTAAGTGATTAAGTATTTTTTTAATTATCAGCGGTGATTTTAATTTAATTCATCTCATAATAAAACAGTCTGATTATATACCGGTAAAAACAATTTCACTGTATATAAGATCACAGTTAATTCAACAATTATTTAAATAAAAAATGCATTCAACTTGTATAAACCAGAAAGTGCCTTATTTCTCAAATATCTACTATCTTCTAGCTTTGCCACTCTGACAATGATATTAAGTTATAATTTAGAAAATCTCTATCTGCTGGCTGGTTGAGCAAAGTAATTAATTTAATTTAATTTATTATCCTTTAAACAGTAACTCAAACGAATTTTGGTGTATAAATGTTGTCCTTGGTGATGTATTTAACTTCGTTTAAATTCATATTCAAAATAAATAAATATGTCTTTATATTTGTGTAAATAATGTACAACCATCCAATGCCTTAATATTTGATAATTTTTGAAGAAACAATATAATTGCTGTGTCTATTGTATCTATAGTTCACATTTATTCTTGTTTTGTGGTTTCAGTTTCCCTCTTTGAATATTGTAAAAAAACTTGAAATATATTGCTTGCTTTTTAATGTGTCTTTTGATGGCTTGTCTATAAAGGCTTCATAACCTCTGATCCTCTTCTAAACTCTATTTTAGTCAGTTTCGCCAATATATTCTCGCGCAGGTACACATATTTCTTTCCTAAGATATTGGTTATATTAAGTCACGTGATGTAACAAAAAATTCTGTATGCATTAATAAATAAAAGACTCATAATCGTTACCAATGTTTTTGATCCCCCCTTCTCCGTTTCGAGAAAAACACAATCGCTTACATACAAACGGTCCTCTGATCATCCGATACATTATTTAAAAAGGTCTTTAAAATAACTTATATTCAACTGATTTGAAGACCTTTTTCCTCAGAAGAAAAATCACTCTTTCAAACACATCTCGATTAATACTAGTACTTTAAATTACAATAAAATGATGCTTATTGATAAATCCAAACACAAGATGCAATCATCATCTTCATATTCGTCGTCAGTAAGATCATCATTGTTATCATCGTTATAATCGTCATAATTTTAATCATTTATATTTATCAGACAAGCAGTACGCAGTAAATATTGTGTAAGGCTGTGAATATGATTATAGTTTATACAGGCATAAATACAAGTTTATACTTGTCAAACATATAATAGTTTTTTACACTTAACACTTAAAGGCCGATTATGCCACAGGGACGAATACATTTTGATTTTTTTAAGAATATGCGAAACTGAGTTTAAGTAATTACTACAGATGATGGATGCTTGTTAACTGAAGACAGTAGAGTTAAATTAAAATTGTTTGTTATAAAGTAGCAAATTGTAAACAAAATAGCGTTATGACGTTCATATAGAGAACTAAAACATGATAACTGTACTAATTGCAAAAAACCCCTAAATATTCCACACAACTGAAGAACACATATATATGTATTTTGTATTAACCTGTAAAAAGAGAACACACATTAACAACATCATTTTTTGCTGCTTCCCTTGGTAGTCTTGCAAACTAGAGTGACTGTGAATTGTTTATTCAAAAGTAGTTTCTGTGTATTAATGTGAAAAATTGTGGGGTATGTAAGTGGTTATATAATATTATTAATTTAGAGTTTTCATCAGGGCCTTGTTATTGAGTTTACGATTGTCATATTAGCCTGAGGCCAAAATTCAAAGGCTAATTTATGTATGACCGTCTAAAGCCCACTAACAAGGCCATTATGAAAATACTTGATTATTGACAATTTTATTAATTAACTTCACATAATCTAAAAAAGCAAAGTGCTCGGTGAACAAAAAAAAATAACAAATGTGAAATTTCGTTGTTGTGAGGTATTGCAAATGAAATTCTTGTTTTAAAAATGTCTTGGAAACCTGCCTTGCAGCAATTAAAAATGGTCACTTTTTTCAATATGAAAAAAGCAGATTCATAATGCCCGAGCTGGAGAGCCAAACAAAATTCTGCAATCTCATAATAGCCAAGGATTCTAATAAAAGCTGTACGTTTTGCATAATGGCCATGTTTTATGTTCATAATGTCGTGGTGAATTTCATACAAGCCTTACATTTAAAGTAAAAACGTGCCTTATATTGAAAAGTTAATTAAGTATGAGAAAAACAACAAGAAATTATTGTGAGGGAAGAAACGAATAAAATTATGATTTTTACTTTCGTGTTGACTATATCAACTGTTTAATGATAAATGATTTGATGATTATTTGTACCAGTACCATTTATACCAATGAACTTCCAGCGTTTGCATCATGTGTAATTTCCAAAAATAAATAGGTATATGAATCAACAATGTATCATAACCTTTTATTAATGATTTTGAGGTGAATACTGATTTATCCGTGAAAATGATGTTTGATAATTTCACAGTGGAAATCATCAAATTTTTAAATATAATTTCACACTTTTCAATGAAGAAACTACTTTTTAAAAATTTCCCCTTCTTTTACCTCGATTATATTTAGCTTACAAATCGACATTGTCGTGGCTATTTAGAACAAACCAAAGACAGCCTTTTGAAATATTTAATGTGTTCCAAATTCCTAGGGGCTCCTAGAATGTTTACTCATCTGTCAACAATTACTTATTGTCTATAAAAATCCTCAAATATTTTTTTCATATGAATGTTTGTTGTATTTACAAATCCAAATGAAATCCGTCTCAATCAAAGCACATTTTATTTTTTATCCGTGAAGTATGGCTGTCGCTTACATTTCAAGGGACAGTCTAATGTAAACTTCCGCGATAAAGGAACTAAGGTCGGCATGGCGTAAATGTTTGTTCTTCTAGAATTGTTTGTTTCAATTGTTTAATTAAGTGATCATTCATAATGATTGTTTTTGTATCAAATATATAATATCATCGCAATTTAACGTTGATTTTTGGACTTATTTTCTTTCTCCAGACTTCGTGTATTTATATCACAAATAGGTCTGGACTGGACTCTTACACATAAACAAACAAATATGCGCTATATATTTAATGTAAAATATCTGACGTTGAAAACGCTTTTTTCGAAAACACGATTTTATCATGTCACTTTATTAGGTCATATCTGAGACTGTAATATGACAATTCAACAATAATAGCATTAATATATCAGAAACTGTCTCATATAATGATCAATTTATTTGTTGAGTATGTTTTAGTACACTTATTACATTATATTTACATAACGATCATACCAAGTACACTGAATTACTCTATTCCGTACACTGTGCATCATTTAAACTTGAACATTTTCATATCAGTCATACTTGGAGGGAAATTAAGGAACGTACAAACTAATTCCATGTCACATTGGTGTTAAATGGGCAGGAAAAATTATGTTTTTCTTACTTCTTACTTCAGATAATTTTCGTCGATTAGGATTTTACTCAAAACACCAAATGTTTTGTCCAATATGGTGATAATCTCCCATTCATGAATCATTTAAGATCTTCAACACGTGTTTATCTTAAGTTTAGTTTCTTCTTTTAGATCTTATTTTATCATTGGATGGCGGCTCCATTATCAATGATTGTAATAAGTTAACGGTATGTTTCCTCGTTTTGAATTTGTCTTTTCACGTCTCTTCTGATATACATGCTTTGTGAACCATTCTCTCCTTTCAAATATCTATTATTTTGTTGCAACAACTATTTTCTCGTTCAGACAAATCTTCAATAAAAGGACCTTACAATTTTACTTTGAATGACAAAAAACATCACTTATCAAGTTTCATGAGCAACATCGTATAAACACATTTGCGGATGCTTCTTAATTCCATCAACCACCATAGTCATATATAAATGCTGCTGAAAAGTGCTAAGACCTGTGCGAGGGGTGTGAACAGTAGCTTAAAACTACAACTATGATTCGAGCACCAAGCTTAGTTAAGCCGAGACTGGAACTTAGCCATTTTGCCGTTTCTTTTTAGAGATTTCATTTGTTCTATTTTATCATGCTACTGTTTATATTATCATCTGGATAACGCCTTGCCGGATAAACTTATCTATCTCCAGTCATTCCGTCATACGGTGACCTAACATGGCTAGCACAACACAAATACTACATATAGACGCTGTTTTATCGGGGAAAAGTAAGAATGAAACCATTTTAATAATCTTAAAACATAATCAAAGAAGATAAAGTAAGATAAATAAAAAACATGGCTTATGTCGGGATGGAGGAGGTTTATTCGGTTCCCTGCAAAAGTGAATATTGGCTCGCTAGAGATCGCCAAGATACACTTTCTCGCTCACCGGATAAACCATCTCCATCCCGACAACAACCATGCATTATCTACTAATTTTATTTTGTAAGTATAATATCAAATCATATCATCTTTATATTCTTTGCAGCATTAAACAAAATAACAAAATTTGTTCACTTGGTAATCTTTGATTTATTCCATTCAAAAACTTTTGTTCATTTGTCCTTTACTTATTGTTATTGTTATCTTAAAGTTAAACAATAGAAAAGAAATATGTGGTAAACGTGAAAAAATATCAGTAAAATATGTATTTAAAAATGTATACATTTATAAACCATGAAAGCAAACCTTTGGTAACAGGATGTTATAGTAGTAAATGTCAAGGATGTATGCGTTATAAAAAGGACGGCATCGAATTTGATCTGTTTAAACACGCTGTGCTTGGTCTGGAGCATTTGACAAACATTCGGAAAAGACGCATCTATAACAAGACGTAAGTGCATAAATTAACTTACAAAATATAACGTTTAATATACAGTTTAAGATGTTGAAACATTTTTTAATTCCAGTACAACATAAATATTGTAAAAAAAATTAATAGAAGATAAAATACTACTTGATACTTATTTTGAATTTTTGTTAGATGTTTTGGTATAAATTAATAAAAAATAGACAGTGCCATAGTTTTCATTTCAAAGCAACTAAAACGTTTGAAAGGGAGATGACAAAATTTTACATTTCAAAGCAACCTTTTAATCACACAGTGTCGGCAACTTTTTTGATGTCTTTGACGCACTTAAAAAAATTATTCATTTTTCAGAAGAAAAGATAATTATAATCTACAACGCGTTAATCATGGAAATGTCGCCCGTGACATCGCTTTGGTATTTACTACTATGCATCCAAATTCTGGGAATTTGGTCAACAGCAATACCGGATGGAAATAATACATTAAATGGACAGTCTCTTGTTGAAATGGGCAATAAAATCAAGTCGACTGAACTACAAATGATTGGAAAAACAATACTTAACTTGCAATCTGACATGAATAGCACGATCAGAGCTGAAGTGATTCATGAACTTTGTCGGTTACATAATTGCACTGATTGGGGTGTATGGTCAAAATGTGATGTGGCTATTTTAGGGTTTGGGAGCCGAAACCGTAGCAGGGAGTGTGGATTTCGAACTGTCCTTTGTGATAGAGAAGATTTGCCCAAAATAGATTATGACTTTGAAGTTTGTGATAGAAAGATACGTGTAAACAAAAATTGTTCAGCTGGATTCACTAAAACCGAGCATGGGCTCTGTCTTAAAATGCATAAAAATAACGTGTATCGCCAAACTGCCGAAAATGTGTGTCGGCGGGAGAAGGGACATCTCGTCCAAATAAATTCAGAAATTGCAATGAATGACATTGATAAATTCATTGCTGAAAAATACGGGGATGGCGGGGGATGGTGGTGGATAGACGGTCTAAGGTCAGAGCAAGGTGGTCCATGGAAATTCGGATACGAGACAGAGAATCAAAATTTCACAGCCTGGGGAGATAAGGAGCCAACAAACGGTCCTAATGACCTTTGCCTCCTTTATTACCATATGGCATACAAGGGAGGTAAAGCTTGGCGCATGAATGATCACACTTGCAACAAATACTCTTGGTTTATATGCCAGATTATTCCTTGAAGCCATACATTCTGTCATATTGGCTTATTCATTATGTCTTTGTAAAAGAGTCATGTGCATAAGAAATAAAATTTTCATAATTTGACTGACCTTATAATCAGATATATTTAGTTAAAGTATTAACAAGTAACACAATAATATGTATAATTGTATTGTTTGTTTTGTTCCATTTATATATTTTAATCAATACTGAAATGATTGAAAGGCTTTACATGTATGACAAACTTAATCGACCGGTTAAAATATATAATAATACAAAATACAGACATAAAATAAAAATGTATAATCATGAAATTAGTATCACCGATTTATTTTCGAATCATGGAACACTTACCTTGTATGCCGTACAAAATTTTGCTTAATATTTTTAGTAGTAAAGTGTTTTATTATGTTTATACAAAATTGTAAAGAATTATTGGTTAGAAGTCAAAACGAAAACATTTATATTGCCATTAACATAATTATTAGACTTAAAAAATGAATATATAATTATTTTATATAATTTGAATATGTCAAGTCCATATTATTAATGTAACGATTTTATACTTTCAAGTTAATATAATCAACTATGTAATAACTTTGTGTTAAAAAACTATTTTGATAATGAACATTTATATGGTAACAACTGTTTTATATTTCCTTTTTAAAAGGACCAAATAAATCCATTTTTTTCTGAAAGAAGAACCTAATTATTAATTACTTTTATCATGTAATATTATGTCAATTTTTCTTTGCGTTAATTTAAACTTATGAATACTGTTGTACTAACATATTTGTTTGAATTGTATCTGTCAAATTTGACGTCTGATTGTATTTTATAAATGTAAAGCACGTTTTAACTGTTTTGTTTTTCGAAAAATAGGATATTAACATACTCTACAACATTTCAAATTATAATGCAATTTTGTATCACAAAAACAATTTGTTAAGGTTAATTGAATTTTGAATAATTTGATGTAAAGGTCAAAAAATATTATTGCAGATTTTTATATGATTTGCTGCATTTTGAATAATTTGATGTTGAAGAATATCTTTGCGTGTTGGACGAATGTTTTTAAATAAACATTTTCGCAACCGACAAATTGATCTACTAGATATACACTTCTGCCAATGATATTATAAGGATAGGATTAAATGATAGTTAAATTTTCTTCGGAACGTTTTTAGAAACTTTCATAAATATCACCAACACCTATGAAGAGGGGTGAAAGTTTCTGTTTTTAACACTATTCGAAATTTTTATCAAATATTAAAGAGAAAAATGACAAGTTTCTTAAGTTTAGAAAACTAAATTCCTTAAGACACGCCGAATGTCAATATTCAAAATTTACAGGCTCGGTTTATTTGAGCCTGTATATTGATGGTACTAGTGCAATTTACCATAATATCCTCCCATTACACCGACTAAACCACTTTCAATTGTTATCGAACCATACAACAATTGCAGATGCATGACGTTTCTTACTTGTTTTTTAAGTTATCACTTCATCTAAATCTATAAAGGTTTGAATAAAATTAAAGTAATATAATGTAAGACTTCTGTTTTAAGCCGTGTCTCACTAAAAGATCATTTCTTGAAGACATGTTGTTCTAAATTATCTTCAATGATTCTTTTTAGAACTTTGAGAAATTGGCGTAGATATTGATAGATTTCATAACAGGTACTTTTCTGCATATCCTTCGTGACTAAAAGATGGTATTAAAATGAATAATACGTTTAACATTAAATGAAGATCTGTAATTAACAAACCTTGATCAGATTAATCGAAAAGATAAGATCAATTATATTTCGTTTACATTTTGTTTCATTCAACACCTAATATTGATAATTAGTTTAAACTGTTTAATGAAACGGGTGTGAAAATTGAAGTGCCAAAATCCAAATCATATGTAATTTTACATAAACAAGATGTATTTTATCACGAAAAAAGTTGTGTTATATTGAAACATGAACATATTTTTACGCATACTTGAAATTTATGTTATCATTGTATTCTGCTTTTATGATGTGTTATCAACCAAACTAAAAGGAAAAAAAAACAATAAAATTTAACAGCAATCTGCTTCATGTCTCTGTATCACACATACGAGTATTCTTGATCCCTTTGAAACAGACCTACCTCTTTACCAACAACCACGAATGGTGTTTGCAAACATTATTTCACAGACAATAACACTGACCTGTAGGTTATTCGAAGAAGAAATGATGACTCAGACCGAATAAATAAGGCCAATGTCATGCAACTTTATTCATTTTAACGGTCTGAAAGTACTTCATGTCACCTTTTTTGATACATTTATCGTAAATAATGGTCCAGTTACAGCTTAATCTGATACACTAGAAACTTGAACAACCTGGAATGCTGATACTGAATGAAATTGCACACATCATCTTTATAAACAAAAGGTTCTCAATTTCATCTTGATGTTTTTGCTTCACATCTTAAATCAACCATTCTCAATTGTTTAATAAATGTGTGTCGTAATATCTCAGAAATAATCTGACTGTTTGTTGTTTTCTATCTATAAGTGGTCTGATCGATTTAATTGTCAAGGCGTTAGATCTGCGATTAAGTTAATAAGCTCTTTGCAGACCTTTACACAAGGCTCCAACTATTAAACCGTTGGCCTAGTTGTTAAGGCGTCCGCCTTCGTATCGGGAGGTCGAAGGTTCGAGCCCCGCGAAGAGCGTTAATTGAAGGATAAATGTTTCTCGTGGGACTCGTTCTGAAATAGCCTTTTTGTGAGCCGCGAGGTAGTTAAAGTGAATGGTTACCGATTTCTATCCGCCTGGCGCCTGGCATAGAGGTAGGAATTGGGAGGTACATGGTATGCAAGCAAAAGGTGTCTCATAAGTCAGAAATGGCTGGCCCTTTCAGTAGGGGTGACACTATAATAAGACCTTTTTTATTGTTACCGTTTTATACATACTCGCAATAAAATAAAACAAACATGAACATCAGTTTCGTTTACTAAAACATTTCCTCTCTATATTCTGTGACTGAATTATCCTTTTGAAATATTTCTAAAAAGGGTAACCTAAATGAATTAATTTTACTATGTAGAATCAACATTCTGTTTTGTACAAAACCGTACAAATTCCCATGGAAGTTATCATTTGAAAATGTCTTAGATGCATTGTTTTTTTTAATTTTCGCTCTCTAAAAATCAACTAAACTCAACTCAAATAATTGTATTGCGTTTAACATACAAAATATGTTTATAGAACATACTACCTACCTATAGGGAAATTACCGCTTAAGTTACGTGTTCCGAGATCAGCATAATATATTTTCCCATTTTTTGTATTGGTGATGTTGAATAGTCACATTACCTTATTAAATACAAATATCCTCGCTTTGAGGCGATGGTGAGGGTAAACTGTTTTCTTTAAGATAAAATAAATGCATTGGAATGTTGCCTTACATAGAAAAGTATTTGTATGTTAACATGATATGATACATGTCTCCATTTAAAAGATAAAGCTAAGTATAATATGAAGGGTTTATAATGTCTGGCTTTGCAAACTATTCTGTTAATAAAATCAGGAAAGTTGCACCCAATATTCATGTCCATGTTAGATTGATGTTAAACATTGATTCTCCGAAAAGCAAAAACAAAAATTTCCGCATACCATAAAGTAATAGAAAATCAAATATTAACCTGTATAAAAGCTATTTTATTTGATATCATGTCTTCTATCCGAAATGTGTCTGCCTTTCAAATCAAATTAATACAAAATGTTAATAATAACTACTTTAAATTGGAAGTTTTAAATATTGAAGAGCGGGATTAAATAATGACATATCGAAACAAGAAGTATCCTTAACAAGATAATTGACCGAAGTAAAACTACTTTTAATTGCGTAGTTTATTTCGGTTTTCAGTATGTATGTACATACATGGTATAATTATAGAATTGATTTCTAAAAAAACGAAATTTACTATATGTGCAAATGCTTCGTTTGTATAAACATTTTTTGGACTATTTTAGACTTTGAAAATAAACTATAAGATTAGTTAATCTTCAAGGAATAACTCCTTTCCTTATATTCAGTATTTTTCTTATACATGTGCTTGTTATTTGTTTACATTCTGTTTTACAAAAGTTAACCTGTCTGCCACGCACGCCCCTGTTTATCAAAAATGAGATGCATGTTTTAATAAAATTTTGTAGCAAAGATCGATGACGCCACCATGAACAAAACATAATCTGAACCGTACTCAGCATTTTCGTTAAATTTTTATTTTTATCCTCATGTATATTGATTTGATGTAATGAATGCTATTTTAGATGGAAGTGGAATTAAGTAAGCATTATAAAATACTTATGCTTCAATTGACATAGCAAGCAATGGTTTGATCTAAGAAGCAGTACAAGTTACCTTTCTAAATAAAACTGTCATGTTAGGATAGGATAACTTACATTGACGTATTAATACACACACTAATATTGACTTTACTGATATCCAAATGTAAGTAAATTGTTAAATTCATATCACTTGAACACATCAATAATCATATATCATTAACAAACAGTGTAAATAGTCTATTGAATGCACCAAAAAAAGATGTTTTTATTTGTTATCTGTCGGTATTTTCATTCACATGAGTTTAAGGGATCGAAAGCGTTATTAGTGGAGAAACTTATAAAATGCCATTGCATACTCATTAGATTTAACTATAATTGAATTTATTAAGCGTTTCATTAGAAAATTAAGAGAATCAAGTGTAAAATGTTAAATGGGAGGAAACATAATTCACACTTGTCAAATATCCGCGAAATCTAACTAGAAAGTGTGATTCCGAAACTCCTTTTGATTATTTAAGAATTTAGACGTTTATACATCTCAGAAAAGGTTCGGTGGATAATTTAAACTTTTTTTAAATTTGTAAAGTTTATGTTAGCAATGAAGTTTTGTAATAAAACAACAGAAATAAAAGATGCATCTTTAATTATTAAATGTAAAATTTATTGGCAGTTCGTGGCAAAACATGCAAATGTTAATCTTTTACCTAATAACCTTTTTATTGTATAAGCCAACCGAATCTATTCAATCTGTTCTTTCTTTTTTTTGGTTATTATCTTTAAATACTGTGCAAAAATTAGACTCTGAAATTAAAATTAAATACTTTATATGATATTGTCATTATAAAACATGAGCCTATAGGTTTCAATACTGCAAACTGTTTATATTATTTTCACTAATGTTTTGGTTCGGATATTCGTCAATTTGAATGCTAGTCATAACGTCCGTTCGTTTATTAATTCATTCATGCACATTTATTCATTAGTTTTATTCAATCCTTTCTTATATAGTTTGAAGAAGGGTCTAGAGCGCCATCATTTCTAAATGCGACAGTGAAATTGAAAGTATAAGAAAAATAAGACCTGGTTCCAGTTTATGTATTTTGTTTTAAGCGTAAATAATATTTCCGAAAAAGAAATATAAGTCCAGAAGATTTCTTTGCCGTATCGTGTACTCAAAATCGAGGATTTACTTTATAATGATTCCACCAGATCAATATAAATATATAACAAGTTTTTTCTAGTGGGGCCAACAACTATTTTCGTCCATTTACATTACCTGCATCTTACACATTTTGGCGCATTTTGTCATTTTGTACTGTCATGGTTTCCTATTCTGATTCAATGCACGAGCTTTGATAACATAACATTTAATTTTAATTTCCTTTTTAATTTTAATGTATGCTTTGAAATTTTAAAACTTGCTTTTCATGTTCGTTAAGCCTGATCAGTATGTAATTGATGTAATCGATAGGTAAAATTAATGCATTTTGTTTTTACAATTATGTTTCAATTCGGTCAAGTGGATCTTGCTGATAAAAGTTTGATCCCTACTTTTCAAATGGAACTTAATAACATCGCACGTGGAGGGACGTCATACAGTTGAATCGCCTCCAACAGTGTATAATAAAGATTCCGTCAATACGGAGTTTTAATGATAACATGTCAAGATTTTGACGCTGAATTATTGGATTAACAAATGTACGGTAGGTGGAGTTATTACTTTGATATTAGGACAGAGTGGTGCTAATTTGGGCAGCGAGGTGAAGTCGAGCTTTAGAAGAATAATTTGGCAGGTGCGCGAACAATAGCACGCTAATAAGTGTAAAATAACAATAAATATTTCGCTTCGCGGTTCCACCGTTTTACAATTAAAACTCGACTTTTCGCCCCGCACTGCCGCTTATTTGCATTTTCGCATCGCGCCCCCGCCATTTTAACTTTTAAATTTTAAATTTTTTGAATTTTTGCTTGGCTGGGTCGTGGAGCGAAAACATATACGGCACAAATCAGCCACCATAGTTAAAGGTTATTATTCATATTTCTAATGCAAAATGTACTCTCGTCATAATGAACAGACTTTAGAACATGACCCCGAAATATTTCGACAGGATGTTTTACAAATTCTTAAGCTTTGTAATCGGTTCTCTTTTCAATTAATACAAAAGATGAGGCAAACATTATTTTAGACTTGTTAAAAAGCATTGTTACATATTGAAACAAGGTAAATAATTCGTATGACAGAAAGAGTAATTTTTGTTTAACTTGTCAACAGATATATGTTTTCGCATTTATGTCTAATAAACAAAAAGCTTACATCGTCATGAAGTAGTAATAAATTTTATGTTTTATGATATAACTATTTCAAAATATTACTTAATTTTCGTTAGCTAAAGCGTAATCATTAAATTCACTATGGTCATTCTATAAGTAACATGAATACATATGATTATCCTTTGTTACACTTCAGTTCAGCATAACCATT